TGTTTGTGCACTATGAAAGTTGGAGGTTAAAGTTAAAATTTGAAGCCAAGTTTAAGGTCCAATATATGTATTATGCCTTAAAAATAGTATGCATTGTATAAAAATATTTATTTATAAAAATATCCTCCACAATTATGGTGTAAAAGATGTAAAAATGCTTTTGAGGGGTAATTGAGTCTTTAACCATGCTAATAAATGTATTGAATTCAATTGCATTACTAATACCTAGAAATCCATAGTATTAGTAATACACTCCATTAATACAGGGATTTGAACCTGAGATTTCATAGCGCTCAATCCACTTCTTTGACACCTAGTACACACCCTTGGGTGCGCTTGCAAGTTCTTTATTAGGTAGATATAATTGCAAGAAGTAAATTACTATACAATTATAAATCCAAAGATTCAACAATATTTTACATTATGACTGTGATGAAGTACTTCATTTATATCGTGAATGTCAACAAAGTTAGGTTCCACCTAAATATGTTGAAGATTTAATTGGGAAAAGAAAGGTGATGAAAAGAGAGAGGGAGAGATTATATATTTAATTTTGTGATGAAGTTTGTACTTGTAAGAACAAAATTTTAACTTTCAAGTGACTGATAACCAAAAATAAAAAAAAATTAGGTGTAAATTGTGTATATCAGAACATTTATTTAAAGTAGCATTTAAATCATGGATGGATTAATTTACATGCATTGACCTATCAAAGTTCAACCTCATTATATACATGATGTTCTATAATTACAACTATTTGTTCAGAATTATTATTCCATTATTCTGTACAAGAACTTTGCAACAACTCCAGTTGATGTCTAATATTTGTAAGAGAGTGTTACCTTTGATATTGGCCAAAGTTCAACAAGCCTACTTTTACGTAACCAAAGCATAGCAAGCTGTGATGGTTCAAAGCTCTCTGGCAATGAAATTGAAGGATACCCTCTCCAATCAATGAACCGCAGGCTGGAAGGAAGATAAGTGATAGTGCAGTTTGTGCTAAAAGCTCCATCACCAACTATGAGTGTTTTAAGCTTTGCATCCTCTTGAAAATATTGCTATAATCGACAAGATCATCTTCAAAATAGTAATCTTTTGGGATACGTAGGCTTTCCACCTTTTCTATTATCTGTAAAGAATGAAACATATATTTAATGGCTAACAAATAAAATTAACTATGAGCTTACGAAATTATTAATTACGTTGAATATTGCTTACCAACTTTCTTGTAAAAAGGTCACAAACTTCCTCGGGAAGCCATATTCTGCTGTTAGCATACTCTTCCCGTATGACATTTTCTCCCATTTCTCTTATCATATTATGCATCACAAAAATAGTTTTCAGGTAGATGGATAACAGAGATTTTTCGACAAGGCAATCTACTAGAAAACCACGACTCAGGTCTCTCAGTACTGATTTCACATAAAGATGAATATCATATCTACTCAAGTCTGCATTCTCTAGAAATGCAATATCCAGAAATAATTCCTTCTCATCTTTATCCAGACCATCAAAACTAAGCCTAAGCTTTTCTAGAATATCCTTGAGAGGGATTCTCTTCAGCCGATCAATTATGTGTCTCCAGTGCTTTTTATCTCGTCGGTAAAATGAAGAACCCAAAACTTTAAGGGCTAAAGGGAGTCTACCAGCATACTTCACCACTTGCCTTGAAAGTTCCAAAAATCCTTCTTTTGGTGATTTTTCTCTAAAAGCAAGCCTACTGAACAATTCAAGTGCTTCATTCTCAGATAATAGTTGGACTTCCTACACATTATCCCCGACGTGACTGATTAACAGGTGCTTGTCTCTTGCTGTTAAAATAATTCTGCTACCCCTACCAACCACTCTGGCTCTCCAACCAAAAATTCCAACTGTTCTTGATGGTTTACGTCATCGATGGTGAACAGAACTTTCTTCCAACGAAGCATATTCTTTAAATATTCATCCCTTCATGCTCACTAGTTAGAGTCAATTTTTCACCCAAGAGCTTGCAAATGACGACTTGTTGTAGCCATGTTAGTCCATTTTTCTGATGAAGATTTCCAACATCACCGAGAAAACAATCAGCTTCAAATTGATGGCGGTATCTTTGATGTAGAACATTTGCAATTTCTGTCTTGCCGATGCCGCCCATACCCCAAATACCAATAGAGCGAACATCGTTTGATTCCATATCTAATAATGAGGTTACTTTCTCAACCTGAGATTTCATACCCACTAAGCTTTCCGGGAAAGGTGAAATAATTTGAAGTGACTTAGGAAATATGTCATCAACTAGTTTCTTGACGCACTCAGCCTCATCCCTACATTATAGTGGAGAATAATCTCAGAGTATATAAATAGAAAAGCAAAGACTTGTCACAAAGGTAGTTTAAATCAACTATTATGAATTATAACATTTCAAAATCTAATAATATCATCAAACAATCATATACGTCGCTGTTTTCCTAGGATATTTGTTCCCTTTTGGGTAAATGTATAGATGATGATTGTGTGGTATTGTAGCTAAAAAGTTTGGTCCTTTTTCCTCTTGATAAAGAGAAACCGGAAAAAAGAAGAAGAAGAAAGCTTACGTGAAATTAAGTAAATGATAGCCTGATATTTTCCCTGCCTCCACAAATGCATCCCTCCATCTTTGAACATTCTCCATATCATCTTTGTATTTTACCTCGTGTTGGGAAAATGAATCAGCGAAAGGGGGATTTTGATGGCGCACATCTGATGGACTCACATCATAGAAGACTGGAATCTGGCCTCTTCTATGGCTTTTAAAAGTTCAGCAGAAATTGATTTTCCTGCTTCCAACCGTTCATCATCTTTAAAAGTGTGGATTCCTCTTAGTTCCAGAGCCTTATAGAGATGACTCACAAAGGTTCTACGCGTATCTTCACCTCTAAAACTCAAAAAAGATATCGTACTTGCAAACTTTGGAAGAAGAAGCATGAGACATTGTTGAAGAATTTGCTAAAGACTAACAGGCAAGTTCTCAGCTTTAGGTATATGGTGAGAAAATAATATTGTTCAATGTTGTGCTGCTTAATAAAGAGCAATATTTGAAGCCCAATTGGCAAAATTATTTCTCAGCAATGTGAATGCATAATTTGGTCAAAAAGAGTGAAAAAGGGGGAGTAGACCAACCTGATAAAAAAGAAAGAAAAGACAAAGACTTCACTATTTCTAGTCTTTATATTAAAGAACTCATAAAATTGTACCTTTTTCATTATTGTGGGAAATTAAAGAGAATTGAAACAGACAAGAAGACATGAGGCAAAGAAAAAACTAAAGTTATTATATTTTACTGATTTTATTGTAAAGACTAGACTTTACCTTTTTTCATTATTCCAAGCCTCTGTAGGAAACTTGTTATCATCTTCCTAATTCATGACATATAATTGTAGCCTTTTTCAGTATTGCACTGACAAATTAAACAAATGAGCACCAAATTGATACCTTTTCTGTAAATTGATATAAATTCGTCGCCCTACCTGAGAAATTGCCCAGAAATTGAAGAAAAAAATCGTAAAATTTAGAAAAAAAACACACACAAAAAGCAGAAAAGAAAGACTAACAACCTCATCAAAAATGTAAGCAGAAAAGAAGAGAATTACCCTCTAAATATTGAGGTATATAAGAGCCGATTGTTAAGTGCTAAGGGCATCTCCAACCCAAACACCAAATTTGGTGTCAGCACTATTTTTGGTGTAATAAACTCCAACCCACTGCACCAAATTTTACACCAAAAAGGAATATTTTTCTCTCTTATTTCATTTATATTTCTTATTTCATAAAACAAATTCTTTCTAAAACATTCACCATATATAATTCATATTATTTCCTTTTATAATCGTTTAATATAAAATTATTTTGTACCATTAATTTTTTTAAATAATATAAATTGCTAGCAAATATTATACATTATACATAATAATGAATAATACAAATAAAAGTGAAATCATTAATGAAATACAATTAAATAAACGTTACATAATTGAAAAAATTATTTTAAATTCTACATAAATATTCAATTTTCAAGATCACTACGGTACTCTCATAAATGCTCTATTAATGCATTACGTAGTTCAAAAAGAGCAATGTTTGCATTTTTAATTTTTGTGAAGGTTAATTGTATTTATATCCAATTATAATTTATAGTAGAATTAACATAAATTTAATTTTTTTAAAAAGTCATATATAAAAAAATTAATTTATAAAAAAGCTAAATTTTATATCCAAAATTAATATTATAAAAATATTACATAAAAAATAATTAAATATACAAGAGATTAATTAAACATACAATTTATATAATCTTTAATTAAAAGTTTGTATAATGAAATAATATTAAACTATTCAAAAAGTGAAATGGTGTGATGAATAGTGTTGCATCAAATTCGGTGCAACACTATTCACACACCAAATTTGGTGTAAAAATTGGTGTGGGTTGGAGCTCAAAACACCAAATCTTACACCAAATTTAGGATTTGATATAAAATTTGATATTGGGTTGGAGATGGTCTAAAAGCAAAATACTTTTTAAGCCCAAAAAAGACAAAATGGGTATGATATATGCCTTTTAAAAATTGTATGACATATACCTTGTAAAAATTGACTGACATATATCTTTTACTCTTCATCATTAAAAAAAAAAGAAGCTCACATATACCATTTTCCACTAATGCCAATGAAAATATTAATTTTTAAATTTTATTTTTTATTTTTTATTTTTTAAAGATTCGTGTAGGATATATATAATTATTTTAGCAAAGTTAAGAATATATTTGATCTTTCTTACGTATAATTTTTTTTGACTTCTTTAATGCTTAATTTGAGTTTTAAATATCTCTCTTATAATCTATTTACTTATCATTATTTGAGTTTCTTATTTTTATTTTTTTCTTTTATTATTAGTGTAAAATATAAGAAATAAAAAAGAAAATAGAGTGAATGGAAATAAAGAAAATTTTCTTATAAAAATTGTTTATTTATTTTTTTGCATTTGGGAGAAAGTGGGAGTGACCTCAATGGCCGTCAAGATGAGGGAAGGAAAACTGAGATGATTTGGGCATGTGTAGTGGATGTACAAGAGCCTGGTTATAAGGGTGTATGTAGTGAAGAATGGGTAGATCGAAAAAGTATTGGGAGAGATGCAACTTTATATTACTGAGGACATGACTCTAGAGAGGAAGAAGTGAATAATAAATTATTAGGGATATAGGCTTGTCTTGCCTTGCTAAGGTGTATGCTTATTAATGCATGTTGTAGTACTAGTTGTACCCTTGTGGTTCTTGTCATATGTTATTTATTGTATTTCGGAAACAACCTATCTTCCTCTATGAGATAAGGGTAAGGCCTGCATACACTCTATACTCTTCAGACCTCATATTATATTACCCCCTAAACTATGATCGAAATTCCAGAGACACACCTTAACTAAACTAAGATCCTATTACTCTCCTGAGCTCATTCTTGCATTTTATGATATGTGCAAGCTCCTCTAAGCACCATCTTAAGGATGCATAGCTTTTTGAAAATATTACGACAGCGAATCTGGCCTCTTCTATGGCTTTCAAAAATTCATCAGAAATTGATATTCCTGTTTCTAGTCGCTTATCATCTTTAAAAGTGTGGATTCCTCTTAGATCCAGAGCATTATACAGATGACTCACAAAGTTTCTACGTGTATCTTCACCTCTAAACTCAAAAAGACATCGTACTTGCAAATATTGGAAGAAGAAGCCTGAGACATTGTTGAAGAATATTGGTAAAGAGTAAAGACTAACAGAGGAATTCTCAGCTTTGGGTATATGTTGAGAAAATATATTTGTTGTGAATGCATAATTTGGTGTATGGGGAAACTTCCATTCATCTGTTACTATATAAAATTAAAACAACCTGGTCAACAAGAAAGAAAAGACCAAGCAAATTCTCAGCTTAATATTAAAGATTTCACTATTCACAAAATTGTACCTTTTTCATTATTTGTGAGAAATTAAAAGGCTAAACAGGGGAGTAGACCTGATTTGGTCAAAAAGGAAAAGTTGAGAGACAAAGAAAAACAAATTGAAGTTAAAATAATGGATTTGAGACTCAGTCATAACAATTGACAAAGTTGTTGTAGTTAAGAAAATAAATAACATCTGAAGGGTTAGATTATCATTTTGTTGTAAAGACTTCACCTTTTTTCATTATTCCAGACCTATATAGGAAACTTGTTATCATCTTCCTAATTAATGACATGGAATTGTACCCTTTTTCAGTATTAAACGAATGAGATATAAATTCGTTGCCCTACCTGAGAAATTGCCCACAAATTGAAGAAAAAATTCGTAACAATTTACAAGAAAACACACAAAAAGCATAAAAGAAAGACTAACCTGAGACATCAAAGATATAGGCAGAAAAGAAGAGCTGATTGTTAAGGCAAAATACTTTTTAAGCCCAAAAAAGAAAAGAAAATGGGTATGATATACCTTTTAACTTATCTCTTTAGTGTCACTGTTATTTATATACAGAAGTCTTTTATTACTCTTCATCATCATCATATATTATTATAAGTGGGAAGCTTCAAAATGAAAAGTTAAATTATCATTTTATCCTTACACTAAATATAAATTTAATCAAATATCTTAATAAATAATACTTAATATTTTAATTATATAAAGATAACATTAAAAGTCCAGCAACTATAATTTTAAAATATAAAATTTATTAATAATCATTTGCATTGAACCGAATAAGTAAAAGATGGTTCATCTGCCAGTAATTAGTATAGTAGCAAATTTCCTCAATATTAATTAGAATACAACCTTTTCACATTCCAACATTTATTAGTTTGATTGAAGCTTCCACCTGTTATATGTGTTCATCTATCAATACTTATTATAGCATATTATCTTAATATGTAGTAATTTAGAATACAATGTTTTCTCAACAAAACATTTTCTTGTGTAATTTTTGTTCATTCTTTTTCTTAGGTTTTTTATACTTGCAATGTACAAATCTCATAACAATGGCTATACGTATATATAGTTTTGGAAGTTGGAAAGAACATTGTATCATAGTTTAAGTCTTTTCATCTCCAACAATAGAACTTTTGATTTTCTTTAGTCACCTAACTTAATTGATAATGAATGATCTTATCTATTCCATTAAATTATGCTCAATGATCAACTTATATAAATGAATTCATAAATCAAGAATATGTACAACTCTCTCCATTAGGGGAGGCAGTAGAGGAGAGAGTTTAACTAGTAAGTTCACTTTTCAGCTTTGTTATTTTCTGTGAAAGTGTTCATAAAAATATATTATTCTTGTTTATATAATATTTTATGAGTTTTAAGTTTTATAAATTATCAATGTTTCTTATATTCATGTTTATGAGTTAAAATCAAACTGATGTATTGACATAGAAGTGTTAGAGATTGACTTTTGGTCCTCTTATTTGTCATACCTTTTGTAACATCCGGCAATTTGAAATAGCTAAGAAGAGGCTTAGAATTCGAAAATTTTCAGTTTTTGGAAAGGATTTGAAAAATTGGAAAATTTGGCTAAGTATGGAAATTAGTGATTTTTGGCCAACTTTGAACAGTCATAACTTCCAGCTCAGGATGAGTTAGAAGTAGTTCTGGTTATGGTTGTAAATTTCATGGAACGATCTTTCCAACTCCACCGAGTTTGCTCAAATCCGAGTTCGTATGAGCGAGTTATGGCCCTTGAAAGTTGGGCAGTTGACAAGAAATCCGTCCGGGAATCATTAAGGGCATTTTGGTCTTTTCCCTAACTATTTCTTTTGAGGATGTATTGTTGTGTTAGGATGATGCTTGGATCATTTTGTTCCATTTTGAAAGAGTAAGAACTAGGGCTTGAGAGTGAAGAAGAGGAGAAGGAGAAGAGAAGAAGAGGAGAAGAAGAAGAGGAAATCGAGGATATCAACAAGTTCCGTCAAGATCATCGTGGATT